ACAACACTACACTTCTACTTGTACAACTGTGGTTTCCAAGTTAACTTTTTCTATGTATCAAGTGTTCAAAATTCAAAATAACAAATGGAGAAAAAAGGGTGAGAGTAGTTACGTTAAGACTTAGGGCGTGAAGCAAAGAACGTAATGTATGTAGGATTCTGTTGTGTGTCTTGATGAACACGACTACTGCAGGTAGTGTGCAGGCAGACTGCAGACAGGGTCAGGGAATGGCGTAAACATGAGAATCACAATATATCATGGGGAGGGGAGGGGCTTGTCGTCGTCCTTGGGGCTTGGGCTAAAATTGAATCAGCCGTTATACTGGAATTCTGAGCTGGCTGGACGACAGTCCAGGTGCCTTTAAATTTGTTAGGTAGAGTTGTTTATGGTCGGAAGCTTGCAATGCTGCAGCGTTTCACCCACACGGAAGCAAAGACATACATGATCAGAGATTCAGTTCAGTTAAGCATAACTGCTGCGCATATACATTCAGTTCAGCCGCAGAGGATGACGATGATGACACCATATATATACATTCATTCACTCATTTACATAATAATTAACACCACCTCTCTCTCTCTCTCTCTGTCTCTCTCACAAAGAAAGAAAGAAAATATGTCTGCTGTGTGTCCCCGCTGACTGCCGGGCTGATCAGCTCTTACTTGGTGGGTGCAAATTACAACACTCTTCCCTAGCTAGTTGCCTGACCGACCCTGAGGCTGAATCTGATGTGATCAAGGAGAAATGCTAATGGACAAGTGTTGAGAAAAGAACCGACTCCTTGTATCATATGGCAGAAAGGTTGTGACCTCATGGGGGGCACCCCGCACCCCCAGGACCCAACTTGTGGCCAGGGGCCAGGGCTGACACTGGCTAATTGGAAACGGGGCTCCCCAAATACGTAGAACTGTCAAATCCGGCCAGCATCAAAATCATGGATGAAATGAAACCACAAACCGGACACGGAGACGGAACCTATTTGTATTTGGGAATTGGGATCATCATTATAACTGATCAGGATCAGCTGCAAACTGCAATCTACAAAGGGGAGGGGGGGCCCACAGATCACTTGCTCGGAATTGAATGAGATGGTGGGCCACTCAGGATTCATTACCCTAGATATATGCTATACATATACCAGCATCGAGGGCCTATATATCCGCGTAGACCAATTATGTCCGAGCTAGTTCCATTGTATTCCAGTAAGTATTGTGTTCGTACTGTAGTAGTAGCAGCAGCTTAGGTTAGGCTGCTCGCATTTTATTCATGAGTTACAGTGAACTACATTTACGTACCTATTACTTACTTGCAAGAGACATTCCCCATGATGATCAATTGTAAATTTAGGTGCACCGAACTTCGATGCAAAGAATATGTACGTGATTATTCTTCTTTTATTTTATTTTTCCCTTCAATTCTGGATAAAATCGCTCACAGCTATTGAGCTACAAACCCTAATAACCTAAAGAGCCTTGCAAGCTCAATTAGCCCATGTTTCTGCCATATTTCTTTTATATACTATACTATTTCACTAAACAATTTATTTTTTAAGCCTCCCATGTAGCAACCATGTGGCTCAGATTCGATGCCCTCGTTCTGTTTTATCAAAGCTTTTTGATTAAATTGACAAAAGTAGCAGAGAGGAATCCATGGGTTCAGAAAGAGAGATGGTTGAGCTTGTATGATATGGTTCAGTACTTGTTTGGAATCCTAGGAGGAGAAAATAAATTAGATTTGTTCTTAAGGGCGCAACCAACGTAAGCAGTAGCAGGCTGCTGGCAACCGTAGATCTGTTTACTTGTTTTTCTATATTTTTTTAACAGAATTTGACATTAAAAAAGTATAAAAGGTCAATTAGATTTTCTTCCAAGATTATTGCAACAGTTATTTCCTGTAATTTATTAATTACCAATAAGAATGAGAATAAGAAGATGGATTGGGAAGAAGATGACAACGATTAAATTCTTCAGCTACTATAGCTACCCTAATGTAGTCTTTCTACTGTCTCTACTCTCCATAGCTGAGCTATCAGCTATCAATTCCTATTCTCCTTATATCTACTCTGATCCTATAACTAATCAAACGGCTAATCTATCCATCACCAGGCCCGGTTGACAAACAAGAAATGTGCTGGGCTGAGCTGGGTGAATCTAATATAAATATATAATTCTTTCTCCTACAAAAATACTGGTCCCCTACACTGGATGCATAATCTTTGATTAAATTAATGTTTTCATTGCTAAATTTTGGTTTCTCCATGCAAGTTTATATTGTTTATTAATTATTAACTAATTGTAATAAAAAATCTCAGCTGATTTCCGTGCAGGTTCGAGTCTGAACTAGCCACCTAGCACTCCGGGTCTCCTACCCACAAACAGTTCCTACACCATACCCACAAGACACTAAAGCCATGCATTGGAAACATCTCCCCATAAATGGTAATAAGGGATATATATATATATATATATATTCATTTTAGGCCTCGTTCATTTTTGGGTACCTGGGTAATGTATTTATTTAAGCAAAAGCAAAAGTTGATTGAATAACTTTGATGCAAGTGTTCTTACGCGCTTTCACTTACCCGGATAAGGAGGGAGATAGGAGAGGATTAACGTTCTTGGCAAATGGATAAGCAACTTATCCACCCTCCAGGTAACCGATACTCTTCGAAAATTTACTTTCAACGGGACCCATTACAGTGGCACCAGAACATGAAAAGTTTGTTAATTGCCCGATTAACCAACATATCCCCATGAGATACCATCAAACAAACGAGGCCTTAATGTGTGCTAGTAGTGTCATGTGGGCATGAATGTGAGAATGGTTTGTGGGTAGATGCGAGTTTGCCACCTTTGTGCGCGCCCACGCAGGCACACACACACACAAAAGGGTACCCTAGATATAGCCGGTGGGAGCCAGCATGCAACCTTGGGTAACGGCCCTTTTTTCAAGTATGGTTTCAAGGTTAGTACTCAATTAGCAGAGGGGGATGTCGTGTCTTGGTTTTCAGCTGGTTTGGTACAAAAAAAAAAAAAAAGTGGCCCAATTCATCCGGGCTATTTTAAGGGGATGGTGCAAGGGCGAAAGCAACAAGATTGAATAGTAGGATAGGGTGGGGAAGTGGCAGCATTAGGAAGGTAATGACTCCAAAAGAAAAAAAAAGGGGGCAATGAACAGTGAGTTGATAGCACAGTTGGTAATAATGGCAAGCAGTAGCAAACGTGAATGGACTAAGCAAGTGCAGCTGCAACAGAAACAGTGTTAGAGGTCCATGAATGACAAATATTGTGGCATGTCATCTTGTTTTTATTAGTGATATAGCGTGGATCATCTAGGCCCACGTTGCTTCCCTCTTATTATACATGTAATGTAGTAGCTCTGCAACTTCAAGGACATCCCCCCCCCCCCCCCCCCCCCCCCATGTCCCATGGGGAACCCATAGAGATTCCCAATCACCCATAATAATGCTAGCTGCTAGCTCCTCTTCCTGTAGCCCGATTGGAACTGCTTGCCTTAAGGCCCCAACACCTAGAAATTTGTCCATTCCTTCATCAGGCTTATTAATAGCTTACTCATTTGATTGATCCCCTTATTAGTTTAATAATACCAGTGATTAGAATAATTAAATGAGAATTACAAGGTAAATAAAGACAACAAACAGTACCCAATGAACTGGCAGTGTTAGCATTTGCAGTGGTTACTGGTACAATTATCCTGAATATTCCCCTCGATAATCATTTCATGTCCTAAATACAACAAATAAATTATTCTACTCATACAAATTTATACCATGACATCCCGGATCCATCGACCCTGTAGCTCGACAGGACCGGTACTCAGTATCCCAACCCTCTAGCCTACGGGCCTTGATGATCCCAACTCAGTTTAACAAAAAGTTGGTTGGTGGGGCTGACCATCAAGAACAGTGGAACCGAACCCGACTGGATTTTGAATTCTTTTCTTACTTTTAAAAAAAACTTCCCTTCTTTTCTTGCTCACACGGCTTCCAAGAAAACCCTATACTGAGTCGGGTCGGATGACTTATTAACGGGTATGGAGGGTTATATTCATGAAAAAAAAATAAAATCAGGACCATCTGATTCATTTCATGTTTCAATCTTCATTGATTTTAAGGGTGCTCATTCTCAAGCCTTGACAAGAAAGAATAAAGAAAACGGGTTGGCGGGTTGACCCGAAAGTTGCCACCCTTTACAGTAAAAAGAAAAGGTGTTAATCATATATGAGAGTAAATACAAGTAAACAATTGTAGGTCCATGACAACATTATTGAAGATGGGATGTGCACAAACTAGAAACACTGTGTGGACAAGTGCCCCTTATCATACGGCCAATTGCCTTATCGACCGCATCCGCCAAAGCTTTGCCTCAGATTAAAAACTAAAAAATAATGGTGCAGGATTAGAGTGTACGTAATACGTATTTGTGATGGTGAAGTAATTCAAAGAGAGAGATCTAGAGATCAACCACAAGTATTTTCACAATAAAAAAGGATATAAAAAGGACAAACATGTCATTATTCATTAATGAGAGTAATTAATTAATTAATTAGAAAAGAATTATACAAATTATTATTTCTTAATTAAGATCAAAAAGTTTGGGAAACAACAAAACAAGCCACCCACCCATTTGAAATTGTGAGCTAAGCCAAGGTGAGAAGCATGGAGAATGGGACCCAACTCAGCACTTCTCCATGTCCAAGACGGAAGAGAGAGAGAGAGATGGGGTGGGGGTGTTTTGAGTTCTGTTCATCGCTAATTAATATTTCAGAGGTTGTATATACAAAGAACCTGACAGGGTCTACGATGCTAACTCCATCCTTTTCGGTTCAGACAGATGTGTGGGTCAAAGTTCTCAGAGGATGGGAATTAAATATTAAGTCTGTTGGATTGCAGATTTCGGTGAAAAAGACACGAAATCACCTTAGAGAGAGACTGAGGGCAAGAGCAAGAGATGGAGAGAGAGAGACAAGAAAACAAGAGGGGGAGAAAGAGAGAGAGAGTAGAAGAAAAAGCAGATTCCGTTTCAATTTTAGGGTCTAGGTGCTAATGCATATAACATACCATATTACAAACTATAATCAATTTGTTTATGAGCGACGCTCGTCTTATTATATGTGTTTATATATATTCCTTCAACTTGGTGCAACTTCAGTTTATCAAGGTTTCTTCCTGGATTAGCATCCCTGTGAGGTTCCTTTTTTTTATGTTGAGTGAGCGACTGAGTAATAACAGCACCTTGTGTTAGTAGAGAGAGAAAGAGAACAGAGAGCAGAGAGAGATGGAAGTTAACGAACATGGTTTCTTAGAGGAGCTATTAGCTTTTAGAAGAGAGACATGGGAGACTTTCCCTGCTACAGGAGGTATGAGTGAGTTGTTCACTAATGGGTGGAGCTTTGACTGTTTTGATGAGAACCCAGGTCTGGTCGTCGGACCAAATTCTTCCTTCGGAGGACTCGCGGCCGCCGTATCTACTTCTGCCGTGCCTGGTTTCAATGGTCCCTTCAATGAAACCTACTGCCCCTATGCAGATGGATTATGGGTACCAGAGATGGAAGATTCATCATCATACAAGAAACAACACGATACCCCATCGTTCCCGTCTCAAGAAGACTATCCCTCCTCGCTCATGGAGGATGAAGAACACGGTCTGCTCGGCGATGAGCTTCGCAATTTGGAGGAGAGGCCGACTACCTGTAAGATGGAGCCCGTCCAAGCTCCCGAAATCCCAGTTTTCAACATGGGCATGTGCTTAGAGAGGAAGAACCGATCAAAGAAAGTGGAGGGTCAGCCATCCAAGAATCTAATGGCCGAGAGAAGGAGAAGGAAGCGATTGAACGACCGCCTTTCGATGCTCCGATCAGTGGTTCCTAAGATAAGCAAGGTTTATATCATCACTCAATCTCGTTTCTTCGATCGATTTCTTTTCTCAGTTTTCTTCTTTTTATCACAATATAGTTTAGGTTTTTCTTTTCTCGGTCCACATCGATCGAACCACTTCTCACTGTCTTCTGGTTGGTGGTTGGAATTTTATGCCTCAAACCGGTGGTTTTGGCCAAAATGCTTTCATCCGCTCAGTTTTTTGTTTTTCTTCTTGGTAATGAAGTTTTTTATTCCTCATCAGTCAAGATATAGAAGTTGTGGTTCTGACCACCTAAGTGGGTATTTACGATTACCAGATGGACAGAACGTCTATACTTGGAGACACCATAGATTACATGAAAGAGCTGCTGGAGAGAATCAAGAATTTGCAAGATGAGATTGATGTGGATTCAGATCAGTTGAACCTGATGAGCATCTTCAAGGAGCTAAAACCAAATGAAATCCTGGTTAGAAACTCACCTAAGGTATGGTTCTCTATGAACTCATGAGATCCTTGGAAGAAACAACCCAACAACCCAGTTTTACTAGCGAATTACTGAATCGGGATTTTCCTTTTGCAGTTTGATGTGGAGAGAAGGAACATGGACACCCGGATCGAGATTTGCTGTGCAGGAAAGCCGGGATTATTGCTATCGACAGTAACTACACTGGAGGCACTGGGCCTTGAGATCCAGCAGTGTGTCATAAGCTGTTTCAATGATTTTGCAATGCAAGCTTCTTGCTCGGAGGTACAGTTTAATCAACCCAGCACTAGCAGTTCCTTTGCTTTCTTGTCGTCATCTCTTAGATACCATAGTGGCAGCTCTATCAGAATTTTCCTTTGTGTTTGTTTTTCGTTCTTTCATTGTTGCCATTAATGATCATCAATTCATGTTTCCTCCCATATGATCGATCTTTCATGGTCTTAGGAAATGGAGCAGAGAACAGTAATAAGTTCCGAAGACATAAAGCAAGCATTATTCAGAAATGCAGGCTATGGAGGGCGGTGTCTGTAGAAATAAAGGGAGCAAGTGAGGAAGAAACAAAATGATCGTTGAAAATGGTCATTCCAAGAAGACTGAAGCCAGAAGGGCTGGAAGGGAATCGACAAATCTCTGTATTTTTTATTTTAATTGAGAGATGGTGTTTGTAGTAATTCTTTTTCTTTCCAATAAGTAGTTGCTACTCATCAGAAACCATCTCATCACGCCCTATTTTATGGTTTTTATTTTAATATTCTGGTTCAATTGGAGACCTTATTATTAATGTAATGAATATATTGCTTGGTTCCTCCATATACCAACTATAGAAAGTCTTTTAGTTTAATTTTGTTCTAATGGCATCGGAATGTTTTGAAATTCTGTGGGACACATTTATCAGATGAACAATGCCTTGTAAAAGCCTAACCTAGGAAAGCAGTGCTTACCCTACCTCAGCTCAGTCCTCTCATCTCTAACCAACCCACTAAACTTTGTCGAGAGAGAGAGAGAGAGAGAGAGAGCAAGTGCTAACAATAGGCTGAATGTGTCACCATGAAAGCAAATTAAGTTGTTTCTAGCTGGATTTCTACATGTTTGTTTTGAGGAGCATAGAGTTTCATGATTTATGGCATCAATTAAGAAACTTGTACACGGACTTTGTTAACAGAGATGGGCAGCAATGATTTCTAGCTTGTTTGCATATATACCACGTCAATAAACGGAATTATTTCTTTTTCGATTTTGAATAGCCTTTGAACCAAACTGTCATAATCTAATTAAATGGGTTGATTTCAGGTTGTTTGTGAAGAAATAGAAATGAATATATTCCTTTGGAAATATCCCTGAGGTTATGTTTGGTTTGATAGCAATAATAAGAGAGAAACAGATAGTTGAGGGAAGTTCTTAACAAATTTTGTGAAATTCCTAATTAAACAACTTCCTCAACCTTCCATTTCTATCTTATTTTCTATCAAAGGAAACACAGCCTAAATGACCTCAGATGGTGGCCTTCCTCTAATATAATATGGCCTTCAAACAACTACAACTAAATCATTTTGGTACGGCAATCTCAAAGAGATTATTAATCTTCAAATTTAAAATTACTAAATTCTTTTAATGCTAAACCATTGAAACCTTTTCAAGGTTCAAAATTATCACATTTATGATTTTCACTTAACATTCTAATAGAATGCAATATATGATTAAAATACTAATCTTCTATTTTCAGTACTTACTGATATTCACCAAGCCAGGATAAACGATCGAGAATGCCATTACTCCTCATATAGCAGGTAAGTCACTGAAATTTTGAGTGAGGCATTTTAACTTTGAAATCTTTTTTTAGCATTCTATGATTTCAGAGCATATTTCATCATTAATCAAAACCCACCTTTACTCCATCAGTTCACCTCATACCAAGGGATTAGTAGACATGGCAATAGGCTGAGTGGAATGGGCGAGCAAGGCAAGTTTTCTGAAAACATTAAATACTTCTTAGTTGTTTACAACTAAGCAAAATGAAGGTCTGTAAATATCAACGACAAACTTTAGGAGGTAGGCCTGTGAAATGAAGATCATCTGCTAAATTATAACTAGATCAAATAGCTAGGTTCTTACAACAAAATATGCAGATAATAACTATATATGCAAGGTCAAAGCATGTATACTAATTAGTAGAGTTGTTTTAATGAAAAGAAGATTTTTAGGCTCAATTAAGTCTAACGAAAATCAGTTTTACCAGTTGATTTTGTCAGAGAAACGTAAGTTCCGAATCTCATTCCCATCCCGGAACAATTAGTTGCTGACAGTCCTCTTTGCTATTAGCTAGGTTGGAAATGGAGGGAGTTCACGAGTTGCAAGCACTTTTCGAAACTTAGGTACCCATAATCTTGAATGATACTCTTGTCGAATAAGGTGGCAGAGTTGGCCTTAAAAAGCTGCCTCCCTGCCTACAGAGATCTTAGCTTGGAACTATCAAAAGCTTGGCCAGCCACTGGTAGTCTGGCTAACTCGTATTATTTGTCCGAAAGGGAAAATCTGATATCTTCTTTTTTCTTTTCAAAAAATAAGTAAGACGAGAATTATAGAATTATTTACCACTTATGAATAACGAAAATCCCCCAACTATGACTACTTTTGGATAACCTAAGAGAAAACCCTAGCCCCATTATTTAAAAAATCATCAAAATAGTCCCTTGGTCAAATGAAATCCTATTGTGAATTTTTTTCCACGTGTCTGATCAATATAAATCAATATTCTTGGCTCTCCCCCATAAGGGCATGAAGCTAGTCTCATAAATACGGCAAGCCTCATGGAATATCCAATCTGCTATTTCTTTAGTCAGTCAAGCTGTCGGGACTTCAATGAGATTCTCCAGCCTGTGACAAATGGAATGGTCTAACTGATCTCAAACAGCTGAAAAACTAGGTGGGTTGTGCCTGTATTTGGTCATTGATATGGAGTAAAATACTCAGAGAAACAATCCCTAGAAGGACACAACACCCATAAGGAGAGGCTGTAATATGGGCAATGCTGATGGCTTACTTAGAATGCATAATTATTTTATCAGAGCTCAGCCTTTATTGGAGCCAAAGGCCATAGATAGTCCACCAAATATATGCAGAAGACAGCCTCTGCCAAGAACAAGATGGATCACTCAGCTTGCAAGCGATGTGGGTCTGTGACGTCTAATACACGGGTAGATTGGGCCGTCCAGTTGGTAACCCTTCAAGCTTGTAAAGAAACAACCAAATGTACATTGCAAGAGACCATCCAAGAAGCAGGAATAAAATTTTGTGTTGGAATTTGGTGAGGTGGACAAAAGGATCCAACAAAGAGAACACATCTATCACTGAAAGCATGGCCTGACAAGGGGTTTGATTAGAGAAGAGAGGTCACTTTAGATGGAATAAACTAGGTGAAGTTTGTTGCCACCTGGGAATGGTCCCAATACAGGAAGCTTGATTGCCTGATTGGTGAGGAGAAATCACCTCGATGGGAATTTTTATCAACCGTGTCTAGCCTGTAAGAAAAGTCAACAGAGGTCTACGTTAATGCTCTCTCTTTCTCTCTCTGATTGATCAATAGGAGTTCAAATCATGGATTCCTTTTCTTGAGCACGATTTTAATTTATTGCCCAGAAAAAAAAACACAAGACCGATCACTGGTTCTGGGGCCGTCCATTCTTTTTGTTTAGCTATGTATACAACATTACATTACAGCTTTTCTCTTATTTTCTTAGGGTTTAATTAAGAAAAAACAATTTCCATTTCAGACAAAAGTTTTTAGAATCCAGAAAATCTTGTAATGGGCCCGACGCCTCCCAGCGTATTTTTCATGCCAAGAAAACGCATCTGGGTTCCTTCTTTTTCTAGAGAAAATCTGACAACTTTCTCTCAATTCCTCACATATTCTTATGCAACTTAATGGAGTAAGGTAAAAATTGACCCATGTAAAAAAAAAAAAAAAGGGTTTGCTGGAAGGAGTAGGCTCAAATCATATCGCAGTTCCCCTAAACTCACTGTCGATGACAACGGGCTAATCATGTAGATGCCTTTTCAAGAAGAAGCTTTTCTAATTCCTTAGCTCAGATAAAACTCATATAAAGGTCCCATTCCAGAAATATGACCAGCACTCTTTTATCAACTTTTTCTTCTGATCCTCCAGGCAATATAGAGCCAACAGGCGACAGCTAACGTAAAGCTTTCTCCAAACCCATCTGAATATGATTCCAACTCCTTGTTTCAAGCTCATACGGACGCTTGAAAGTTGAAACAACGTAGCCACATTTCATTTTATATGCTTGGGTGGAGCTTTACTTACAGGCTTGTTCATGATTATTTCAACTCCGGAGGAAATTTTACGAGCAAATTAATTTGGACCCACCATATGACGGGCATCCACGATTGCTTCGCCCTGCTGCAACGCCCTGGGCTTAGTCATGCATGCTTACAGAGAGAGAGAGAGAGAAAGAGAGAGAGAGTAGCAAAGAGATTTTTCTTTCTTTTGTGGACCCCCGGGTTGGCTTTATCCAAGCTTCTTTGGCTTTAACTCTGTAGCTGCAATGATGCATACGTCGTGATGGTGGTCTGTTTTGGATGATATCTTCAACCTTTTGACCCAAGATGGAAAGCGAGGCTCATTAGACGGAGCGGAGCGGCGGGGCTAGGTTCTAGTAAGCAGCGTCAAACAGGTTGTGGTTGAACTAGAATGTTCATACTTTAGAAAGAATGAAAGAAAGCTATGAGATGATTACTTGAGTTGACTCTATGCACTGCTTCCATGGTTACGAAAGCTCAGTTTCTTTTCTTTATTTTTTTATTTTAAATATCAAACTGATTCAGGAATCTGCTCAATCATCATCAGTGAGAGATAGGTTCTAAAGATTTGTGTGGTAGAGTAGAGGTAAGGTTGCATAGACAAGGAGAGGATAAACGACATATATCTGGGAAGAAGAGGAGTTCACGTGTGGCAAGCAAGCTCCTAAGGGAACTTGAGTTGGCACCCAAATCAGGAATGATACTTGAAGCAAACCCAACTCTTGTCCCATAAGGCGGTAGAGGTGTCGTTTAAAAGCTGCTGCCCCTCGTCGCCATGTCTATGTTTTTAAGCTTGAAAAGGATTGGCTACCGCATTGATATATATATGATCTTAGCCCTACATACTTCCATCCGACAGAGCTATACTGGTTTCTTTTTCACAAGTGAGACAAGTCCTCGGAAGATAAAACATCACTATTTACTGTTTATTTGATAACGAAAATACGCATACTAGGACATAGTCTCAGCTGGGTTGTTCATAGATCATCCTTCTTGACTGTGTTCAGATTTATGACATTTCCCTTTATTTGTTGCCTCAAGCCTCCCTATGAACGTAGCAAGCTAGGCTCTTAAACATTCTTATATGGAAGTTTATCACTTCATCTTTCCATCTTCTGCATAAGTCAAACTCCGCCGCTCTCATGGCGTGTTGGGGAACTACACTGAGATTAATTCTCCAGCCTGATATCAGAAGAGGGGTTTCCCATTGGAAAAAAAGAAAGAAAGAAATCTTAGAACTAACGCCGATGGTTATTCTTCAACTGACCTGAAAACTGAATGTTCAAAAACAGAATTTAATGGTCTTATCAACCAGAAATGCCTAGCAATGACAAGGGGAGGTTGGCTAGGTCAAAATCTAATCTAATGTAGACTGGAAATTTATGCTCCAGATCGAGTCATACGTCATGGCACACGCAGTTTCTTCCTTAAACCCTAGTCCACCAGAGCCAGGCATTCTGCGAGAACTGAAGACTTTGCCAATGTCACGATCGTTCACCACTTGCAATTGATGCGGCTGCCCATT